TGGAATATAATAGAAATAATATGTATATAATATGTAAGTAATCTATGACATTTCTCTTATATATTATATATAATTATAAACTTCTATATTATATAAAGCTTATATAAAACTTGTACGAACAGGGCAGCCCCAGTGGCCCAGCAGTTTAGCTCCGCCTTCAGCCCAGGGCATGATCCTGGAGACCCGGAATCGAGTCCCACGTCAGGCTCCCTGCATGGAGCCTGCTTCTCCCTCTGCCTGTGTCTCTGCCTCTCTTTCTCTCTCTCTCTCTCTCTCTGTCTGTCATGAATAAATAAATAAAAATCTAAAAAAAAACTTGTACGAACATATCTAATAAATTATAATGTATTATATAATTTTATTGTAATATTTATGTATAACATAGAAAAAATATTATTTTTATATTTTATATATTTATAATATAAAATATATTAGCTATTATATATAAGAAGCATCTTTAACATATAGGATATATTATATATGATAGATAACATAAAATTTACCATTTTGACAATTTTTAAGTTGCAATTCAGTGACATGAAGAACATTCACAGTATTGTGCAGCCGCCACCCCCATTCATCTCCAGAACTTTCCATCATCCCAAACTGAAACTCTTTCTCCATTAAACACATCAAGACCCCACTTTCTTTTCCCCAGCTTCTGGTGACCTCCGTTCATTCAATTTTCTGTCTCCATAAACGTGCCTGTTTTAGATCTCTCTCATTTAAGGGGATTTATACAGTATTCATCCTTTTGTGATGGGCTTCTTTCACTTAACATCATGTCTTCCAGGTTCATCCCTGTTGTAGCAGGACTTGCCTTTTACAGATGAAAAATATTCCATTGTATGGACAGACCACATTTTGTTTATCCATTCATCCGTCAAAGGACACATTTCACCTTTTGGCTGCTGTGGATGCTGCTGCTCAGGACGTTGGTCTATGATAGTCCGTTTGGGTCTCTGTCTTCACTTTTGTTGGGCAATACCTGGCAGTGGACTTGTGGCATCGGATGGTGATCACAAGTTTCACTCTTTGGGGAACCAGCCAACTATTTTCCCCAGTGGGTGCACCATTTTACACTCCCACTGGCAATGCACGAGGCTTCCCATTTCTCTACATTCTCATCAATGCTTGTTTTATTTTGTTTTGTTTCTGATGGTAGCCATCCTAGTGGGTGTGACGAGGTAGCTGACTTGTGGTTTGGGTTGACCTTTCCCCCTTGACTGATGACGATGAACATGTTTTCATGCATTGATTAGCTATTTGTGTATCTTCTTTGGAGAATTGTCTACCCAAATCTGTTTTGTAAACACTTTAAAAATCAAAGCACAATTTAAATACAGTAGGCTTTTCCAATTTTAGTGACTAGTTTTATGATCTTTCCTTGCATCCTCCACCTCCAGATGTCCCTTGGTTTGTGGCTATATCTCTGCCTCTGCCTTCACACGGCCTCTGATCAAATCTCCTCTTCTTCCTCTTAGGAGGACACTGTCATTGGATTTAGGAAGGACCCACCCTAATGCAGGATGACCTCACTTGGGTCCTCGCCTTAATCACCTCTGCAAAGACCCCATTTCCAAGTAAGGTCATAGTCATAGGCGTTGCCAGTTAAGACTTGGACATATATTTTGGGGGACACAACTCAACCCACTACACAGCTCCATAATCAATGTATAGAACCATCCTGGGACACCTGGATGGCTCAGTGGTTGAGCATCTGCCTTTGGCTAAGGGCGTGATCCTGGGCTCCTGGGATTGAGTCCCGCATCGGGTTCCCCTCTGCTTCTCCCTCTGCCTATGTCTCTGTCTTTCTCTCTGTGTCTCTCATGAATAAATAAATAAAATCTTAAAAAAAAAGATATAGAACCATCCTATTAATCCTCCCCAAGTTATTTTTGTTTTTCAATTAAAAAAATTAAAATGGGGCCATAGTGTCCTCACTGTGTTATAACATGTTTCATACTTTTGATGATAGATTAAACACCCACCTTTTGCATATCAATGAATTCAGATCAAAGTGATCTCTCATCATTTAAAAGAAATATATATGATAGGAGTTTATGGATGGACTAGCTCATGTTATCCTGGACTTGAACCCTCAGAGCCCAGCCGAATGCCTAGTGCCTAGTTGTGCTGGGTCCGTGTCTGTCAAGTGGCTACATGAAGGGGTGAGCTTCCAGGGAACCTCAAGGATGCTGCTGATGGCTCTGACAGGCCTGGGCTCACAGCACTCTCACACCGCCTGTCCTTTCTAGGTGCCACTTGCCTCCCTGGTCCCACATCGGACCAAAAGGATTTGCTCCGCTGGCCTTACTCTAGAAACCTCCAGGCATTTTGTGGCCGACTGCTTGGGAGATCAGAGGTGTGTTTTTCCCCACTTTGGCCTCTCCCCCTTTGAGGGTTTTCATTCCAGAGAGGGCTAAGTCAACTCTCTCCAGGTTTTATAAGCTGATAGAACAGGGCTGTCAAATGCTTTTTATGGGAGAAGAAACAGGAAGATGGTTTGTTTTGCAGACAGAGGATTATTGAGTAATTACATTTTTATAGAGCTGTTGTGGGGCAAATCATGGCCCCGCTGTCTCCTTTGATGCCAAAAGGCAGACGGCCCCATAAAGATCAGAACAAGCGAAGGTGAAAGGGGTCAGGGACAGAGCTGCCCTTTCGGGGAATACCCTCCTCTTGCCATGTGTCTTGGTTCGTCATATTCATATCAACCTCTCCTGACTCTTTTCCCAGTGCATAGAGAAAACGAGAGACAGAGAAAAGGTATTCCCTGGGAGGGCCGCCCTGGAGGGCGACATTGCTGTTTATTCTCCTTCTTTATTGACTCAGTCATTCACCGACCCATTCATTAATTCACTCCTTTATCCATTCATTCATTGAGACATACGTTCAACGGCTTGGGTACTGGCTCAGAGGCCTGAGGTATACTCACATATTTCCACACCCCCCACCCCCCCCGATCACACATAATTGGGAGCCCACAATGTGTCATAGGCTACGGCTATGATGGTGAGCATGACCAGAGCCATGAGAGACATTTGCAACAGATAGTCGCCCCTATATAAAATGTGAGATGGCACAGTGATAAGCACTGGCATGTGCGATTTGGGTAGGGGAGAGGCACAGGAGAACCCCCAACCAGGCACGTGAGCTTCTCAGAGAAGCCTTCCCTGGTGACTGGGATCTAAAGGGTGAGGAGTTGTCTAGCCAAGGGGTGTGATGATGAGGATGGTGGGGAGAGAACATTTCAAGCCAAGCGACAAAGCCCTGCCCAGGCTCCATGGAAGGAGGGCTTGTGAAGCTTCCAAAAAAGCAGTGGTGCCCAAGCCAGCCTGGCTCTTGGACAAGCCCCATCCCGGATGTGCTGCCCAGAGCCGTGGCCAGGAAATCCCTGTTCAGACCCTGTTTTTGGCTCCATTTCAGAGCCAGCCTTCCTCTGCAGAAACAAAATGTGCCACCGGGCTACTATCTCAGACCCGGCCATCCATTCAGGAAAGCCCTGTAGGCGCAGGCCTGGGGAAGTCAGGCAGGCCGCCAGCACGGTGGCCCGGAGGGGGCCTTTCTTTCTGCCCTGGCAGGTTCCAGAAAGCTGTTCATTGCTACTCCTTTTCCTGCGAGGTTAGGGACCAGGCTGAGGGTCTGGTTTTTTTACTGGTCCCATCTGGAGACAAGTGTTTCAAATCAAGTCTTCCCCTTCTCTCGTTTAAAGATGGCGGCCTCTTCTGGAGGCTCCCTGTCCCCCAGGCTGGTTTCCGGCTGCGAGACAAGTACCTTCATAAATGACTATTTATTTGGCCGCCCAGCCCTTCTGTGTGTGTTTGGTTTCCTGCTGCAACCTCCAGCCAGAGTCCCGAGGTGTCTTTCTTAAAGGGGTGGAGGAGATGCAGGCCCTTTCTGGTTTTTCTTCTGTTTATTTGCTGTGAGCTGTCAATGCTCCACAAGGCGGCTTCCCTCTGGGGAGGAAAAACCTTTCCAAAGTCCTTCCCTCTTTCTGTCAGCTACAGGCCCTCCCGGGGTCCCCCAGAGCCACGGGCTGGGCCTGAGGGGGATGTCCCAGCCCCGGCTGCCTGGACCCCTAGAGTTTGGGGGCTGGAGACTGAGGCAGCGGTGGCTCCGCGATCTTATCTGTGTTTTTGAAAGGATCCGTGGGTTGCAGAAATTATGAAATCTCGCCTTCCTGAGTCACGAAGCAGCACTTTTATTGCTCTCCCTTCACAGGTGCAAAACTGAGGCATAGAAAGCTTAAGTAATTTGGTCGGGCCCCAGCGAGGGAGGGGCAGAACCAGGACTGGATCCCAGTCATCTAGTGCCAGAGCCTGTGGTCAGGCACCACCACCTCCAGGAAGCCTCCCCTGTGCTCTCCCAAGTTGGAGGGGACGCCCTTATGGGTCTAACCTTTCTGCGCTTCCATTTTCTCTGAAATGGGAATGATAGAACTATTCTTGCCCTATTTAATGCACAGAGCTGCTGGCAAAACCAAATGAGATAAGCTGCAAAATAAATCATCGTATTAATGAATATTGTTATAAAAGCTAGTTCCTATTTATTGTGAGAGCGCTCAATGGAAACAAAGTCCTGCTGTGGGCTCTCTCTCAGTCACCAAACAACTCCACAGCATAGGTGATGTTATTATCCTATAGGGCCTGGGGCAGAGAAGATGATCAAGAACCTTGGAGTGAATTTGTAGAGATGATTTGGTATGATTCTTTTCTTTTTGCCCCCTGAGGCGTTAGGAGTGCTCCTTTATCAGTTTCCTCATCTCCAATGGATATTTAGTACCATAAGAATTTGTGAGCCACCCCGTCCGTGCCCCTCCCTCCAGGAAGCAATAAGTTACCTGTCTTCTCTGCTTCCTTCCAGAGGTAGTCTATGCAAATAATGCATGCAAAGAATTCACGTAGCCCCAAATATTTGTAATGCAAATAATATCCTTCTATACCCTCTTGCTTATTTCATGTAACAGTATGTCTCAGAGATGATTTCATTAACGATACATAAGGACTACTTTGTTCTTTTCAAGAGTTGCTTGGTACTCTTTCCTATGGCTGGTTCACTATTTTTATCTTTTGCTGTGAGCCAGCGCAGTGCTGTTATTGCGTGGAGGATATTGGTTGGGTAAACGTCCAGAAGAGGACCTGCTGTAGTCCCTCCTTATCCACAGTTTCCCTTTCCATGGGTTCAGTTACTCGTGGTCAACCACCGTCTGGAAGCAGGTGATCTTGACAATACATCAGAAGGTCACTAGCGGCTTAGCGCTATGTTGCAACGCCTATGACGTTCATGTATCTCATCTTATCATGTAGGGATTTTATCATCTCACATCATCACGAGAAGAAGGGTGAGTACACTACATTAAGATATTTTGAGAGAGGGGTGTCTGGGTGGCTCATTCGGTTAAGCATCCTACTTAGGCTCAGGTCATGATCTCGAGGTCCTGGGACTGAGCCCCCACATTGGCTCCCTGCTCAGTGGGGAGTCTGCTTGTCCCTTTGCCCCTCCTTCCACTCATGTTCTCTCCTAAAAAAGATAAATAAAAAAATATATATATATATTTAAAGATTTTCTTTATTTATTCATGAGATAAACAGAGAGAGGCAGAGACACGGGCGGAGGAAGAAGCAGGCTCCATTCAGAGAGCCCAATGTGGGACTTGATCCCAGGTCTCCAGGATCACAACCTGAGCCAAAGGCAGAAGCTCAACCACTGAGCCCCTCAGGCGCCCAATAAAATATTTTTTAAAAAAGGTATTTTGAGAGGGAGAGAGTGAGCACATTCATACAACTTTTATTATATTGCTAATAATTGTTCTATTATTAGTTATTGCTAATCTCTTACTGTGCTTAATTTATAAATTAAACTTTATCATAGGTATGTATCTATAGGAAAAAAATATATGGAGTTCAGTACTACCTGTGGTCTCAGGCACCCACTGGAGGTCTTGGAATGTCTGCCCCAGGTAAAGGGGGAAGGGACTACTATACACATACATTTCAATTTTGGATAAACATTGCCAAATTGCATTTCCTGTATTGTATCAATTTATACCATCCATCAGTAACAAATGAGAGAGCTTGTTTGTCTATAAGCTTAAAATATAGTGCTTTATCAAACTTAAAAAATATCATACCATGAGATCTTGTTATACCTACTGCTTTTGCAATTTGCTTATTTTTGACTTAACATTAATTTAGAGACATTTTTCTGTTTCTAGAAATATTTTCCAACAAAATAATTTTTAGTTGCTCTACAATATTCCATTGCGTGGACATACCATAGTTTATTCTATTAGGTCTCTATCATCAGATCTTTAGTTTTTTAAGAACTGAAAAAGACTAATCAATTTGACTATTAAAATTAAGAATTTTGCTCATCAACAGACACTTAAAAAGGATAAAATCACTTATAAACTGGGAGAAAATACAATGCCCATAAATAAGAAAGGAGAGTATTATCGAGTGTATGGAAAGAGTTTCTTTTTTTTTTTAATTTTTATTTATTTATGATAGTCACAGAGAGAGAGATAGAGAGAGGCAGAGACACAGGCAGAGGGAGAAGCAGGCTCCATGCACCGGGAGCCCGAAGTGGGATTCGATCCTGGGTCTCCAGGATCGCGCCCTGGGCCAAAGGCAGGCGCCAAACCACTGCGCCACCCAGGGATCCCTGGAAAGAGTTTCTAGAAATCAAGAAGCATAGCTCAACAGCCCAATAGAAAAATGGGCAAAGAAAAAAAAGAAAAATGGGCAAAGTACATGAACAGAGCTTTGAAGTGAGGAAACATTTGTGGCTGATAAAACTATGAAGAGATATTGAGCATCATAAATGATGAGGCAAATCAAGACCGGCCTAGGATACTACTTTCCACTCATTTGTTTGGCAAAAATTAAAAAAGAAAAAAATCTGATAAGCCAAGGCTTATAAAGGATGTCAAGTGCAAAGGGAATTCAAATTGGTACATCCACTTTGGAAAAAGAGTTTTGTGTTATACATGCGTGATGGAAAGTCACACATCCTCTGTCTAGCCATTTTTCTCTTGAATATATATCCAAGAAAAATAAGGACGTACCCAGTGCTGCTGTTTGTAATGACAGCAGGAAACGTACTCAATGCCCATTGGCGATAGAGTAAATGAATAAAGTGAAGGTATTTTCAAACGAGGAAACACAACACAGAAGCCAAAAACTGTGGTGAACTTTGACACAGTGACACAGTTGGCACCTGCCCTACCTCTGACCATTCGTTGTGCCCCCACTGGAGCCCCTTTGTCACCTCTACTGTTGCCTGGGAGACCCCTCGAAGTAGCACCCCTTAGGAGGAGAGCCCAGCCTCGGACTGAAGGGAGTTGGTATATGAACTCCCCAGCTCCCTTGCTGCCTGGGCGAGGTGACTCTAAAGTGTGTGTTGGACACACCCTGCGCTTCCCTGGAGTGAGCAAGCTTCAGCTGCCCACAGGGGTGGTTGGTTGAATAATGCACTTTAAAAAAAAATTGAGGCAATATGCACACAACAAATGAGCCATTTTAAAGTGAGTGGTATTTGGGGCTTTCACAATGTTGTCCAACACTACCTCTTTCTAGTTCGAAACATTTTCATTATTCCCAAGGGATATCCATATGCATTAAGCTGTGGCACCCCAGATGATCAGCTTTTATCAGCTGTCTCCCCTTCCACTGAGGTCTGAATGCTTGTGTACCTTCCCAAGTTCATATGTTGAAAACAAACCACTCCCCCCTACCCCTTCACATCCCCACCCCTGGCTGCTCCAAGGTGATGGTATTAGAAGGTGGGACCTTTGGGAGGTGATGAGGTCTTGGGGTGGGGGCAAGGCTCTCATGGATGGGATTAGTGTCCTTCCTCACCAGGAAGAAGCCAGACCACTTTGATCTTGGACTTCCCAGTCTGTAGAACTGTGAGACACGGGACACCAGGGTGGCTCAGCAGTTGAGTATCCACCTTTGGCTCAGGACGTGATGCCAAGATCCTAGGATCAAGTCCCACATTGGGCTCCCCACAGGGAGCCTGCTTCTCCCTCTGCCTCTGTCTCTGCCTCTGTCTCTGTGTCTCTCATGAATAAATAAATAAAATCTTAAAAAAAAGAACTGTGAGAGACACATTTCTGTTGTGTATGAAATATGTAATTCATTATATGTGTCGGTAACTATTTTTTACATATACGTGATGATACACGATTATATATTTTTCTGCCTACAAAAACATTTGTAAAGAACTTACCCAATGTTGTTAATGGTGTTTTATCTGTGTGATGGATTATGAAGTGCCCCTTTTCTCATTTATGCATATCTATGTGGATTGAGTATTTTTAGCTAGTAAAACCAATACAGAGCCAAAAATTCTGTATTACTTAAATCTCTGCAGTGGTGGCAATTTCTCTTACTTGTGTCACTGTGCTAGATTCTGCAAGTGTATCCCTGACCATTCTCTCCTCGGTCCAGAGGAGTGAGTGAATCCACATCATCCTTTAAATCATGTTGCTTTCATTCCACAGAATCCTCCTTTGATCACCAATGACTCTTCCTCCCCATCTTAAAAGCCCTTTGAAAAAGCATGTTTGCTTTCTGCTGGCTTCTTTTTCTACTCTCTTGGCCAAGTCTAGGTCCTTTGGTCTATAGTTGCTGTCTCTTTCTTTCTTTTTTAAAAGACCAATTGCTGTGAAGTACGATGTTCATCATGATATAGATGAATGCCAAAGGCATGGCCGACCAGTGTGTAATTGGATGACAGGGTCATGGGAGATGGTGCACGGTGAGAAATTTTCTGTCTCTGACATTAGAAAACCTGGAGATGTAGCGATTGTAGAAAATTGGAAGCATGAGTGGCCACCAGAGAACAAAAGGAAAATAAATCTTGGCTTGGGCCACGTGGCTGTTCTTCCTCACCTGGAACGTCCTGCCTGGAGTGATTTCTTTACATGTCTCTTGGCACATGGTTACTCTTCTGGCTTGACTTTGAAACAGGTTTAATGGTAAGGAAATGAGACACAATTGTGTGTCTTTTTTTCCCCTATTATTCTGGTAAAATATATATAACATAAAATTTAACATTTTAATGGTCTTGAGTATATAGTTTGGTAGCATTGAGTATATTCACAATGTGCAACCACCAACACCATCCACCTCCAGAACTTTCCCATCATTCCAAACTGAAATTCTATTCCCCTTAAACACCGACTTCTCGGTTCTCCCTCTCCCAGCCCCTGGCAACCACCACTACCCGCTGTCTCCATAAATTTGACTATTCTGGGGATCCCTGGGTGGCGCAGCGGTTTGGCGCCTGCCTTTGGCCCAGGGCGCGATCCTGGAGACCCGGGATCGAATCCCACATCGGGCTCCCGGTGCATGGAGCCTGCTTCTGTCTCTGCCTCTCTCTCTCTCTCTCTCTCTCTCTCTCTCTCTGTGACTATCATAAATAAATAAAAAATTTAAAAAAAATTTGACTATTCTGGGTCATGCAAGTGCCATCATGCAGTATTTGTCCTTTTGCATTTGGCTTAGTTCACTTAGTATAACGTCTTCAAGGTATATCCACACTGTAGCATATATTAAAATTTCTGTACTTTTTAGAAAGGTTAGTGAATATTCCATTGTATGTAGATACCACATTTGGTTTATCCGGTCATCTGCTGATGAGCATTTGGGTTCTTTCCACCTTGGGGCTGTCACGAACAATGTTGCTAGAAACACGGATGTACATACATCTGTTTGAGTCCCTGCTTTCCATTCCTTTGGGCATCTATCCACAAGTGGAATGGCTGGATCAGATGATAGTTCTATGTTCAATTTCAGGAGGAGCCATCACACCGTTTCCCACAGTGGCTGCACCATCATCCAGTCTCACCAGTGACAAAGCAGGAGGGCTCCAGTTTTACCAACACTTGTTATTTTTTTCTTTTCCTTTATTTTTTTAATTTAGAAAACTTTTGATAGTAAACATCCTAATGGGCATTATGTGGTATCTCCTTGTGGTTTGGATTTGTATCACTTTGGTGTTGAATGCAGTCTGGGAATCTTTCTTCCTGAGGGTGTGGTTCTAGGCATCTTTTTCAGAACTCGGGAATGTGAAAATTGAGTTACAGATAAAATGTACTTTTTTAGGACTTTCCATCACAGACTGATGGGTATGCAAATTTCTTGCCTTGTTTAGGAAATTCTTTTCTCTCTACTTTAAAGCATACAAATTTTTTTTGAAAGCCTCTTCTTTTTCTTGATTTTTTTTTTTTTTGGTGTAAAAGTTGGAATAGAAAGTACTTTTTCTGTGTGTGCAAAGAATAAAAGAAATATATATATCTGATTTCCTGATGTTGTCTTCTTTGAAAAATTTTCCCAGTCCAGCTTCTGACACCTGTTTAATTGTACTAGGAGGACTGATTAGAAGCAGTTGTAAATTCTCAGTCCGTTTAGCACAGTTGACCCTTGAACATCATAGGAGTTAGGGGCGCCAACATCCTACACTATCAAAAATCTGCATTTCACTTTTGACTCCCCCGCATCAAGTATAACTACTAATAGCTTACTAGTGATTAAAAGCCTTACCAATAATAAAAACAGTCAATTAACACATAGTTTGTATCTTATGGGTAGTATATGCTATATTCTTACAGTAAAGTAAGCCAGAGAAAAGAAAATGTTATTTAGAAAATCATAAGGAAGAGAAAACACATTTATAGTCTTGTGCTGTATTTACTGGAAAAAGAATCTGTGTACAAGTGAATCCATGTAGTTTAAACCTATGTTGTTCCAGGGCCAACTATAATTCTTTAAAACCTGCCCACTCACCACACCACTGTAACATGGTCTTGCCAAAAATAAACCATCCTCGAATTAATTAAGTCTCTAAATTCAACTGTAATTTGCAGGAAATATGGAGGACAGAGGAACATGTTAAAATGGCACCATGAGGGAACACCTGCAAAGTTGATTTTGCATATTCCCCAGAACAAACAACCTGTGCCGGGCAGAACAACGGCTCCAGAATATTTCTACATCCAAATCTCTGGAACTCGTGAATATAGTAAGTAACCTGGCAAGAGAGAATAAGAGAGCAGGTGAGATTAAGGTTGCTAAGCAGTTGACCTTGAGATGGGGGAGATTCTCCTGGGTTACCTGGGTGGGTTCAGTGTCATAAGTGAAAGAGAGAGGGAGAGTCCATTTCAGTGATGTGATGTATGAAAGAGTTGACAGGCCATCGCTGGCTCTGAAGATGAGCAAGAAGGTCGTGAGCCAAGTGACCGCCATGAGCTTGGAAAAGGCAAGCAAACAGATTCTCCCCTAGACCCTCCAGAAGGAGCACATCCCTGGGAACAATCTTGATCTTAACCCATTGAGACCCGAGCCAGATATCTGGTCTCTGAACTGTAAACTACTGCATTTGTGTTGTTTTAAGGCAATATTTGTGGTCATTTGTTTACAGCAAATGACTTATGTACTTCAACAACAAAAAAAGCATGTTCGGAATGGAGACTGTAGGGGCGCCTGGGTGGCTCAGTCAGGATCCCAGGGTCCTGGGATTGAGCCCCACATTGGGCTCCCTGCTCAGTGGGAGTCTGCTTCTCCCTCTGTTTCTGTTCCTCTCCCTGGCTCATGTGCGCTCTCTCTCTCTCTCTTGCTCTCGCTCATAAATAAATAAATAAATAAATAAATAAATAAATAAATAAATAAAATCTTTTTTAAAAAATGGAGACTGTAGCTAGCACAGTGCCTCCCCATGACGGTGGCCCTGGAGATCAGCCGTAAGCATATCAATGACTTCCTGTGTCCTGCCTCTGCTTGAGGGTCCCCTCTGGCTGCTGAAATGTGCTGGTCCTGCCTCGAAGGTAGGTGGGAAGCGCTGGGGTGTTAAGGCCCAGGAGCAACCCTCAATGTAGAGGGGACATGGGAGGCAGTGGGTGGAAGCTCCCATTGTTACCATCGGGTGGGCAGTTCTGAAGTGTGTGCTACAGTGCCTTGGAGGTCCCCGAGGGTACCAAGTCCAGCTGCCTAAATGGCTACGGTTTATTAATGTGCACTTTACTGGCTCCTGTACCTTCTTTGGGTTATTTTTGTGCTACCTCACCATGCTTCCTGGGGTCACCTCCAAAATCAACTGTTTGTACCCAAATCTTTGTCTCTGGGTCTGCTTTTCCAGGAACTCATACAAGCACAGAGGGTAACCCAGAGATTGAGAGAGATTTAAGAGACACATCAGCCTATCACAGTCTATGCCTTGAATTACCTGGACCTTATCTGGATCCTGATTCAAACACGTTTAAAAGTCCTGAAAACAAAACAAAAGAAAAAGCAAAACCCCAACAATGCCATGAATGACATATATGAGATAAGCAGAAATCTGAACACCAGGTTGGACATTTGAAAATATTAAGAAATTATTGTTAAGTTGTTAAATTTGAGGATGTGATAATGGTGCTTTGGCTATATTAAAGTAAGAAGTTCTTACCATTTAAAGATAAGTTTTGGAATAATTATGAGTGAATTGATAGTGGGTCTGACATTTGGGATTTGCTTCAAGATAATGCAAGAGATGAAGAAAAGAGAAGGTGTGTGTATGTGGAGCAGGAATAGCTCTGAGCCGATAACCACTGAAGCTAGGAGATGCACAGAGGGGGCTCCTTTTACTACTTCCCTGACTTTGCCTACTTTGATAGATGCTAGAAATTTCCAGAATTACAAAATGCCCACTCAAATTAGGTTAGAGTTAATTGTTGAGCAATTGTGACTAAAGGCATGGGCTTTGGGATCACATCAGCCTGGGAGAGTCTGACCCTCACTGATTCAGATGGCCGATTCTATGTGGGGCTAAGACAAGGGAGGTGGGGTGGAGAGAGAAATTGGGAGGGAGGTAATACAGGCAAAGAAAGTGCTTCATGAGTAAAGACACAGAAGTGACAACAGATGGGAAGAACAAGGCCTGAGGAGACAAATCCAGGAGACTGGATTTGAGTCTGAGTCAAGGTCATGCATAATTAATAAATATACATAATTTAAATATATGTGATATATATAATTTATATACAAATCTATAACTTAAAACTATAAATTCTAATTATATTTATAAATATGTATATAAATAGATTATTTAAATGTAAGTGTATATTATATGTTATTTATATATTTATCATTAAATACTATAAAATAAATAAATATAGAGAAACAGAGAGAGAGAGAACGGAACAGTGAAAGAGATTTTAAGGAATTGGCTCATGTGGTCTTGGGCACTGATGATTCAGTTTTTAGGGCAGGCCAGCAGGCTGGCTGGAGATGCAAGGAAGAGTTGCTCTTGCAGCTTGAGTCTGAAGGTAGCCTGGAGCCTAATTTCTCCTCCCTGGAGAGGGACCTCAATCTTTTATTTTTTTAAAGGACTTCACCTGATTGGGTGAGGCCCACCCATATTATGGTGATTAATCTACTTTAATCAGTCTACTGATTTAAATGTCAATCTCATCACAATGACATCTAGACTGATGTTTGACTGAATGTCTGGGTACCACGTCCTCACCAAGTTGATACGTAAAATTAACCTCCACAGGGCCACTGTTGTGCTCCAGACAAGATGCGCTAAGAGTTGTAACCAAGGCATGGGCAGTGAAAATGTAGAGGTGGGGGCAGATGCGAGCACTGCTGAGGTAGTAGAATTGACAGCACTGGGTGGGGGATGGATGAGTAGACTCAGTTTCTAGTATGGGTTTTGGGGAGATTGTGGTGATATTTAGCAAGATGGGAAGAAAGATGAGTCTAGGTTACTCCCAGGCTATTTCAGAGCAGCTGCTATGTTCCTGGCACTGTGCTGGGTTCTTGGGATATGCAGCTCTGGAGGTCAGAAACGGGTCTCACTGCACTGAAATCAAGGTGCCAGCAGGACCATGTTCCTTCTGGAGATTCCAGGGGACAATCCGTTTCCTTGCCTATTCCAGCTTCTTGAGACTGCACGACCCCCTTTTGCTTTCAAAGCAGCAATGGCTGGTGGGGTCTTTTTCACATCATATGACTCTGACACTGCCTCTCCTCCCTCCTTCCCTCTCCTACCCCCCGATTACATTGGGCCCACCCAGATAAACCAGGATAATCTCCCTACCTCACGCTCAGCTGAGCAGCAAGCTGAATTCCATCGGCTACCAGGAGTCCTCCTTGCATGTAACCTAACATATTCCTAGCTTCTGGGGCTTAGGATGTGGACATCTTTAGGGGTGCCTACCATACTCTCCAGTTTTCTTGTTGTTACAATAAAATCTGCAGTTATGATGTGTGCGGTAGGAAGAGAAAAGGAGGGAAGAAGGAAGGACCCACAGTGTATAGGAAGATACTTCCTCCATAGATCATACCAGAATGGTGGGAGTCGTTGCCTAAAGCATCCACCTTGACCTGAAGGTTCCATTTCTCTCTGGCTTCCCAAACCTGAGAATGGATCGTCCTTGGAATGTACTGGATATTTATGAATCAGTATCTGGGGGTTATTTTCCCACTTGGTCCATCAGCTGCTGATGGATGAGCTTGGTTCCTCTTCCAGGGGAGACGCTGGGATGATGCTCATGTGATGGTGGTGCAGGGGGGTGAGGGCTCCCTTCCCCCCACTACCCTCCTTAGTGAAACGGAGCCCAACCTGTGCCTGATTTGCAGCTCCTTTCCTTGACTTTCTCTTGCTCGTCTTCTCTTTCAAAACTCAGAAAAGAGAAAGAAGAGCATATCAAGGTGTGTGGTGGTAGGTGGTTTCAGATAAAGTAACAGCCGAGCTCCCAGCCCCACTGCACCACTCAAGAGCTGTGTGACCTTAACAGGTCACCTACCTCCAGCCCCACCTCCTTGTCTGTAGTTTGGGTGTGGCACCCACCAGTTGCTTGGATTAGAAGAGGTAGCCGTTTGCAAAGCCCTATGCGCATATAGTAGGTGCTCAATAAATTCTCATTCTTCTTACTGTTGTGTTATTGAAATTACCTACTTCACAGCCCAGCTTAAAATTTACCTACTCAATGGGGAATTCTTTCCTGGGACCCTATTTCTGACCACAACTGGACTCTGCATTGTCCTAGAACAGTCAGTCTGTGCTCCATCGTTGCAGCCTGGGGGACATTTCTGACTTGGCATGTTCCTGGGCAGCAGGGACCGAGCTTGCTGATGTAGGTCTAGGACTTGCACCCGGCAGGTGTTGGGCAAAGTCCTGGAGAGAATTCGTGGCCAGCTGCATGGCTTGTGAGCCCGGCTCACCAGAAGTCTCTTTCTCACGTTTTCCACATTATAAGAGTGAGAGATGATGGAAACAGGGCTTTGGGCCCCTCAGCCCTTTAATCGGGAGACTCCCACTTTTCTGAAGCACCCCAGGTATATTTAGCATCACCCCAATTAATACCCAGCTACCAGAATAATCTCTAAACATAACCCTGGCCATCTCACTCCCTTGCCCCGAGGCTCCCCTACACCCATAGGATAACCTCAAGCTCATTAACCCTGACACACAGGGTCCTCCCTGACCAGTCACCCAGCCAGTGTCACCTCTCCCTCTTCCCACCTCTCTTCTTCTCCCAGAAGTCTTAGTTTCCTTGAATGCACCATTTCCTCACTCACCTCTGGAAGCTCTCTGGCTGAAGCTCCCTGCCTTTTGCACTGTTCCCTCCCAGTCTTTGGCCAACTCCGATCACTTTTAACCTTCAACCTAAACCTCACCTCCTCCCGGACGCCTTCCATGATACCTCCATGCTAGGTGCTCCTGCTCTGCCCTCCAGATGGCCCTGAGCTCTCTCTTTCCCAGAGCTAACTGCATCTCATGACAACAGCCTCATCCTTGTCTGTCTCCCAGGGACCCAGGTGGCTCCTGCAGGTGGAGACTGGGTCACTTTCATTTGCTGCTGTGGCCTGCGTTAGTTTCTTGGGACTGCTATAACAAAACACCACAAAAACCAGGTGGCCTAAAGCAACAGAAATGCATTCTCTCACGGTTCAAGAGGCCGGACATCTAAAACCAGGGTGTCAGCAGGGCTGGTTCTTCTCGCCAGCTCCAGGGAGACTCTGTTCCGGGCCCTCCCCCAGCTCCCGGCGTTGCCTCGATCCTTGGCATTTCTCGGCTGTGGCTGCATCACCCCGATCCTGGCCTCTGTCATCACATGGCCCCTTTCCCTGCCTGTCCCCTCCTCTTCTTATAAAGACGCCCGGGCCTCCCAAACCCAGTAGATTCCAACTTAACTCGGTCAGGTTACATCTGCAAAGACCCTACTTCCAAACAAGGTCACGTTCACTGGTGCCAGCGCTGAGGATTTGGGCTTATCCTTCTGGGTGACAAAATGCAACCCAGGACAGTGCCTCCCACATCTACTCATCGTGGGTCTTTGATGAACCAATGATGGCAGAGAGAAAGGTGCGCGACCAGGACTCCCAGTTTCTGCAGGAAAAGCCCACCCTCAGTGCTGGTAGGTGAAAGGCTCAGGCTCACAGCCTCCCCCTCCACACCGGGTGCTGCTCGGGGAGCAGGGGGCCTTGGTGGCCGGCGGGGGACCCTGGGCAGCAGCCCCTGCCCCCACCGGCCGGCCGCGCTGCGGTGGGGCCCGGGGCACCGCTTTATGAGTTGTGATCCACTGTGGTTAATTCCCTTAATCTAGACTTGCTCGTCCACAAAGCCCAGGCCTCAAGTATTGGATTTCCCTGATCAAAGGGCAGCGTGCGGGGGGCGGCGCGGGGGGCTGGCGAGGCTCGTAAACGGCGGCCGGGCCGCCCCACGCGGCCTGCGGGGATGGGCCGGTCGATGGCCCCAGCCTGTGAAATACGACTGGCTGCTTCTGGCTGCTTCTGGGATTTACGGCTGGGCCTTCGTCCGCGCTGCTTAATGCATTGACCTTTGCCATCTAGCAATTCGGGAACTGGCGCTGGTGGGGCCGGGAGCTAATTCCGTGGATTAAAGCAGAAGGAGCCCCCAGTGCCTGGAAGTGTCAGGGACACTTGAAGCTCCAGCCAAACGTCCCTGGCCATCCCCCTCGCCCAGGCTGGGCGGGCTTGGGCTCTTCTCCTGCGGGCCCCCCCACCCGAAGAGAGGGAAGAAGTGCCTTTGGCCGGACGCAGTTTCCCTGCCTCCTTCTGGCCTCTAGTTACTTAACTACTCCCTCTTCTGAGCTCCACGGGGCAGCCCATCTGTTTCTTCCCCCTGGGATGCTCTTCCTTCTGCATCCTTGCCTTGGATGTCTCACCTCCTCCGGGGAGCCTTCCCGACCCCCAAATCTTGCTAACGTCCTTGCCGCGACCCTGAGGTGGCCTCGAAATTGTCATCGTGATTTTTCTAGGCTTGCCCACCCAGCAGACTGTAAGTTGCTTAAAGGCAGGAGATGGATTGTTGCCCAAATCACCCAGACACAGAGCCAGGGCCGTGGCCGCACTCGATGGATATTTATCACGTGAACGAATCAAGAGAAGCCCAGTGACAACGGAGGGTGCAGCTGACAGTTTCTGGTGATGCTATAATTGCATTTGGTATGTTGAGTCTTTTGACCAACCTTCCTCTGTCCGTGACTTGGTTTCCTCTTGAGTGAGTTGGGAATAAGGAGAGTGCTAAGCACACAGTGCTGTCGTCAGTGCATTCATTCAACAAACGTTTGTTGAGGGCTTACAGTGTGTAGGCGCTGATCTAGGCGCTGGGAGCGTAGCAGTGAGCAAAACAAAGATCACTGCCCTGGTGGGTTGGTGACATGCTTGGAGGGGGGAGGGATCATAGAGGAGCTGGTTAAGGAGAAAAAATACCAGAAGTGGGATATGAAGTGTTAGGATAAGGGTGGGTTGGAATTTTGGAAGTACTAGGAAGAGAGACAAGCAGCTTTCTGGGGGAGAGCACTGGAGACAGGGGAGCAGCCAGTGCAAAGGCCCTTGGGCAGGAGCCTGCCTCCTGTGCTTGTGGAAGAGCAAGGAGGCTGGTAGA